GAAAAACTTTGTTCATGATGATCACCACGATGCAGAGAATAATGTTAGAGCAGTAAATTTTAAAGGAACGTATTTGTACCTCACTCCAAGTACCAAAACTCCGTAATATTTCAAGCTCGACAAATAATATTAGATCGTCCTTTATATTAGAATATTTTGAACATAATAATTCCTGCTATGGGTATAATAATATTAGGTGATCGAAATTTTGTATTGATTAAGTGTATGTCTTACCTGAAAACCGTAATATTTCAGAGACTATATATAGTTTATTAGAACTATATTACTATAACTATTATTAGAACGTCGTTGTAAATAATAAAATATTTTATTCATAGTGAACCAGTGATGCTTAGAATAACAAAGGACTGGAGGTTATGATACATTGCCAGAATTGATGTCGAATATTTTGAATGTTTACGTGTAAATCCCGATCCGTACCAGATGAGGGTAATGATTCAGCACTAATGTTTTATGTTAGACCGTCATTAGATATTAAACAGTTGTGATCGTAATGATTTCCGCGATGCGTATAATAATATAAGACAATCAAACCGGGATTGTGTACGGATACGGTGAATATCGAGAATTTTCAACAGGCATATTGGAAAATAATTCCTTTTACCGAAACACCATAACAATTTCAGTGTCAATAAATGATGTTGGATCGTCGCTATATTATTAAAAGTTTTCTTGTGATTTACAGCGTTGAGCAGACTAAGACCATCAGTTCGAGGTAATATGTCGATACGGAGGATGTCGAGAATTTTAGGTAGGCATATGTATACCTCACTTCACGTACCGGAACACCGTAATATTTCAGGGCCGATAAATAATAGTAGATGATATTTGTGTAAAAAAATCGGGTTCATTGTCAACTCGAGTCGTTAAATAACATAAGACTATAAAGTTTATATGTGAACGAGTCGTTAAATAACATAAGATTATAAAGTCGATATGATACACTGATAGAATGAATCAGAAAATCTTTGAAGTGTTATACGTAAACTTCATTCCACGTATCAGAACGCCATAACATTTCAGGCTAGATAAATATTATTAGATGAGATTTTTGTACAAAAAAGCCGTTTTATTGTGAACCCTGCGATGCATAAAATATTATAAGACCAGAAAACAGAAATGATATACCGACAGAATAAATGTCGAAAACTTTGAATTATCATATGTAAACCTCATACCACGTAACAGAACTTCGTAGTATTTCAGGCCCGATAAATAATATTAGATGATATTTATGTAAAAAAAGATGTTCATTGTGAACCCCGAGTTGCAAATATAGTATAAGATTTTGAACTTATTATGATATTTGGCAGAATTAATTTGGAAAATTTGGAATGGTAATATGTAAATCTCATTCGTGCTGTATATTTCAGGCATGGTACATAAAGACAACTTTATTACGAGAATTAATGTTTTCCTCGGGGACATTCCACCCGAAGGATGGTATAATAAAAGCTTACAGAGCTGCCACTAGGGTAAGATAATACATTTTGTTATTAAGAAATTGCAGAGCTGGATGTATTTTCGCGCAGCAATTTGTGAGACGCGTACACATTTATTTGCCCGAAGGCCACACTACACGTGGAATAAGAAAATACCAGTACCGGCGACATTACGCGCGCTGCAATGTAATACATATTAATAAGCACTTACAGTTCCACGCGGCAAGTACACGCTGGTGGCGTATGCCGCGGAGAAATAACAAAAAGTCTGGTGCGAATGAGCCAGCCTCTGAAAAAAGTAAAAGTAAAAATAAAAGAAACGAAGAAGATAGAAAATTTCGGACTCTGGTACGAATTTCATGACTTAGTGAAAGCGACGTACGTGCGCTGACTAGCGAACGCACGACGCTCGATAATGATCGTGGCAACTCGGCATCGACATCGCCCAAGCAGGCTAAAATTGTGTCCTGGCTAGTTTGAACTGGCCTTCGGTGGCGGAGTGTGTGAAATGCGCCTAAGGTCGAATCGGACCCGGCGCGAGCGCGGAGTAATAAATGGATTCACTATGTAAAAAGTCCAGTGCATGCTTTTAAAGGAGAGGAACACATTCCAGCGAGGAAAGTAGTCGCGCATTCTACTCCGTGAGAGTCCGGTAGCGGCTTTACCCGCTGCCATAGGCTTCGCCATGGAGAGAGAAAGAGCTGTCGTTGCCGATGGCGGGTGTGCGTTTTCGGTGATACGGCATGTAGATACTTCTACGGTGATGCGGTACGTGGACGCCGGTTTCTGGTACCCATGTTCGTGGCCGAAGATGGCGAAATTGCTCCTCCTGACGGGCTGATAAGTGGCCAAGTGTGACGATGAGAAGGACCATTCCAGGAGTACTGGTCGATGCAACCTGTGGTGTTGTAGTGCCGGTATGCAAGGGTAGTGTTCAGGCTCGCGTCACCCTCCTCGTCGAGTGTGGCGGCTTTCCGTAGTGGTCCATCGAAGAGGGGATTTTCAGAACCAGGGGGAATCCTCCTCCTTCTGCCACACGGATGTAGGGTGTCTTCTTTGTTTTCGGGCTGGGTTGTCGCCGCCGTCGTGGGAATGGTCCGGAGGTTTAGGGGCCTCCATACTCACCTGTGCCACCATACTCACTGCCATAGTGAGAGAGAAGCAGCCCGATCCCTGTTGGAGCTCTTGGACTTTGAGAGCTTTCTCCTCACCTCAGATCCGTGGTTGGAGGTCCGATAGTCGTCAGCCAGGGAGAAAGCCTCTGGAGAGGTGCCTACCTGCTCGTCGCTTTTCATGCTTGGGTTACCGTCTTCCAAGATGAAGCGGATGGTCCTTGGAAGGCGCCGTTTTTCACTGCTGCACAATTACGTCAAGTGCCTTCAGGAGCGGCAGTGCGTCCTTGGATCTTCCTCGCGGCTGCCAACTCTCGGGATCTTCGTGCGCGTTCTGGTGCTGTTGGAGGCTGCACTCACCACACTTATGGCCGCCGTATACTACCGATTCTACTCGTGTACTGTCTGGTAGCACCCGCAAATATAGAACGCAAGCAAGACTTAGCAACGGAAAAGCCTTTCTGTGCAAATGCCAGAAGAAAAGAAAAGATGAATAGAAATTCAACTGGTCCCCGCCAGAGGATCTAAGAATAAACATATATATCATCGGCTGCATCGCGCAAGTAGCCTTGGCGACGCAACCGAAGTCATGAATAATAAAAAGAAAAGAGATGTTCCGCGCTGGAGGACATATTTAAAAAAAAGAATTGCAGCTGTGCTGGTAAGTTAATATAAATATAAGTATAGATGTAAATGTAAGTAAATATAAGTAAAAATTAATGTGAAACAAATAATAATAAAGAAAAAAATTGAAAATAGATAAAGGTACACATAACCAGAGACAGGAAAGCGTAGCGAATAAAATAAGATTAAAATTAAAATTAAAGTAGAGTCGGCAAGGAGTGGAGCATTCGCATCGAGGAAGAAAGCTATTGTATATCATGTCTAGTATATCTTCAATCAAGTGCTATTGGAAATGAAGTGTACAGAAATACATTAACAGTTAGCGGATCCACTACTAAGACTAGATATTGTAAAATCAAAAAAATGATGAGAGGGGGAAATGCTCCAGACTTCGCCGATACCAAAGCTCGTGCGTTGACTCTGGTTATGGTTAGGGGCTCGAGGGTGGCTGCGCTCTCATGGCCTCGGAGACGTCTACGTTTAAATTGTTCGCGTCGGTCGCGGGCTGATTTTCGTGAACGGAAGCATGCGTTTGCGTGATTTCGAGGGACGCCTCATCCCGCGCTATCGATCCTATCACGCGGTATTGCCGAATGCCCGAGATGTGCTCGACGTGTACGTCCCGGGGCCACGCGATGGTCTCCGAGAACATGCGTCGACTCATCAGAGTCGCGTACTGCAGCAAAGAGGTCAGACTGTTGTTGTGAGAGTGCCAGACGCCCACGACGAAGTCGTCAACGTGAACGATATACCCGCGTCTTCTCAATGTCTCCGCAAGCAGCTGATATATGTGGATCTTCTCGATCCCTGCACTTTGGAGCGAATCGAACTTATACTCGAAAGACACGGTAACATCGATCACGACGATGGTCCTGGACGGTTCGTGCGTCACAACAATATCAGAACGTAATGCCCGCAATTCTTCGCCGACGCGCAGGACGCACGTGTTAATCCACGATTCCCCGGGTAGCCTGGAAGCCGCTTCAAGCCGAAAAAGGCATTGTGGCGTAATTGCCGAGAGGCCGCTTAGGGGCCGCAGAGACAGAGCATGTGGGCCAACATCTCCAAGTACCCGCACCGCAGGCATCTCCGGTCACCTTCGCCCTATCGAGGCATCCCATTTGTGGGAGCACGTCGAGGCATGCACGATGCACAAAGCGCCAGTCTGCGAAACGGAGGTACTGACCCGTCCGTATGAAGCAATTGCTCGCCTCATGAAGGGAGGTCGCGCCGAAAACTTTCCCCTGTCCGGATAAGCGCTCCGAAACAGCGGTCCTCATTCGGCCTATGACTTGCCGCTTGGCGTTCAGAAGAATGACCACTCTTAGAACACCGTCTGCTGGGCACTTCAGCGAAAGCATACACGAGCAGGGTACCAGCGCCAACAGAAGCCGAATCGCCTCAAAACTGCTGATCTGAATCGCGATCAAAACGACGCGCGACTGGTGGACGGTAACTACAGTTCCCTCTCGAGCGAGACCAAAAGGTGCCAGGCGATATCCTCCTCGTTAAACATATACCGCATTTTCAAGCGAACGGCGCTTTCTAACATCGACCTCGCAAAGCCTGCAACTGCCGGGTCATCTGCGTTCAGAATTTTGAAAGCATGGGCCACGACGATAACGTCCGAAGTGTCCACCAAAGGAGAAAGCCCGCATCCTCCAGGAGGGGGTAATGAAGACCACTTCTGCGCTGGCATATTGAGCGAGGTTCAACCATCCCTTCACCGTACGCTTTAGGATTGGGACAGGCTCCGCTAATGGCGATTCTCGGACAGCTTCATCCCTCAGCAAGATGTCAATGTGTGGCAATAATAACGTCGCCATTGTCTCGATCTTCTGCCAGGGGGAGAGAAATGACCTCGCTGACCAGGTCGGCGAGCAGATCTCAGATGGCGCGGTACTAATTCTGGTCGATGCGGACTCCCGTTGGGACGCCCAGGTGGACGTAAATATCTTCTTGTCGAATACTGGCAGCTGTTAGCACGCAAGGTGAAAGGACGGCGGGATCGGCTTTCTCCTGATCCCGCTTTACAGTGTCGCGCAATTAAGGGTGCTGAAGTAGAGTCTCAATGACCTTGCAGCAGACTCAACCGTCAAAAGAAGTAGCACCATGCTGCGGGAGTTCGCGGCGAACAACGAAATACCGTCTGTGGCCAGGGCCGTCACTCTCAAACCTGGCTCCCGAATTCATTGCCGCTAGGACCGGTCGAAAACCAGATCAAAGATTATCGGATACAAGTGGCACCGCTGACAGTATGAAAATGAGATCAGTGTACTCGTCGTGGGTCCTCACGCATACCGTGGAGCCGTTATAAAGGCTGGAAATGATATCGACAACACTTCTGGGCACGGCTGAGACGTTCGTTCGAGGAACCCTGGCGCGTAAGTCGATCGGCAAAGCGACGAACAGTCAGACGACGATATTGCCTTTCGCAATGGGCCGCCTGTTACTTCGGTATTCTGGAGAGTCCTTTCTGTAAATAAGTACAATTAAACTCTCTTTCCAGCCGAGGGGAATGTATCCCACTCGGAAACAAGCTTTAAAATGAGCGGCTTCCTGGTTAAGGTTAAGAACGCAGCTTCCTGGTCAACCTTCCTAATATCGCCATAGGTACCCAAGAGACGATTTGTGCATCCTCCTGAGCCGATGAAGCACCTCGGATGACTCGAGAAGAGCGATCAGTGCATCGCTCGAATCGACGGAAGATTCCGCCGTATAACAAGGCGGAGGGACGAAGAGAGTAGACCAGAGCCTTCCGTCCGCGCAGTGGTCTCCGTACAAAGTCTTTGAATCGTCTCCTCGGACAACTCACAGGAAGGGTAGAGTTAGTGGAGTATCTCCCCGATCGCGCGCTTACGACCGGTCCGGTACAACGTCTATAATTTCGCGTAATCCCTTGTCCATTCCTCTCTACTGAAAAGGGTCCCATTAACTTAAGTACCGGGGCGTATATCTTGGTGTGGCGTACTGCTCGCCGTATGAGACTGACCGAACGACGCGAAGCGATTGTTGCTCGCGGTAGCTTTCGCGTTCACTTTAGCCTTCGTGTTTGCTTGCATCACCCTCCTCTCGGGTGGCCAAAAACTGGGCCACATTCGCGGCGACGGCACCCAGACCTTCGATCGTCCGCGCGGTTATCACGTTCTGCACAAGACGGGCCTGTGTCCTCGTCGTCGCTAATCTGGCGGAAAGCGATTCTCCGTACACCACACCGCGAGATCCGCGCCGGTCTCAGCTGGAGAAGGCCTGCATCATCCTGCTGAAGCATCCGAATCGCTGACAGACAGTGGAGGGCGCACTACTGTTCTCGCCGCCCTGTCGGCCACTGAGCTGGTTCGCCGGCGCGAGACTCATTCCGGATACAGTCCCGGCTCCGCGCTATCATATTGTCCGTTGTTGTTATTGCTGTTGCTGCTGGACAATTGCTGTCCTCTAGATCCCGTATGCTTCATCGGTGGAAGGAGGGACCAAGCGCAGTTCTCTTCTCTCTTCTCTCGCTGCGTCGCTGTTGACAGACACTCCGCAGGTACATCGGCAGAAGCGCCCTCGGACGGTCGAGTGCTTGGCCGCACATTCGCACAAACGCTGCACGCACCCGCGCCGAAGCGCAAGCATGGATTACGCCCGGATCTACCCGCATCGAAGAGCGGAGCGCCTGCGGAGGACCGTGAACAATATTGCTGCGGCTGTCGCTGTCGCCACTGTTGCTGCTGCTACTGCAGTTGTTATCGATGTTTCTGTTGTTGCTGCTACTGCTGTGATTGGTATTCTGCCCTCGGGCATCAATTCTGGACAACGAACCAGACGTAGACCTCATCCCTTTGGCTGGGTTTGCGGGGTTCATCCTGGTTAAATTGCGTAAGGTCTAGCTCCTGGTCGACGGAAATTGCACTGAGATGCAGGGACCTCCTCGATGGGCTGGAAGAAGGTCGCGGATGGTAGCACCAAGAATGGAGTCCGATCTCTCGGTGGTGTTCCTGCGGCGACAGTGGTCGACGATGTGCCTCAGAAGACGGCGGCTAGACTGGAAGGACATCGTCAAAAGGACCAGCCAGTAACTGGATTCTTTCTGGTGCTAGGGGTACATATCATCCCGTCGCCGATGTTTTGGACGCGGTCGTCAATGTCGGGGAAGCCGTTATCCTATTCACACTAGAATTGTCACCGCCTGTGCATAGATTTAAGTTTAGGGAAGCTTCATCCCGGATCTACCATCGTTTGATGTAAATCAGACAGATGGATTTCATCGAATTCCGTTTTTCGTCATCACGACTAACGGTGAAGCATGACTCTCAGCACGACTTCTATCGGCGACTGTCTCTTCTCGGCCTGACGGCTAAGATCAGAGAGTATATATCGGCCTGCTGGTTGACCCCCAACGAGGGAGTTTCTAGGCTCCACCACTAACATCGAATCATGTACCTCGGCATGACGTCTAACATCGAAGGTCGCGTCAGGGCCAGACAAATGCAATCAGAGGACGTACCTCGGAGAGATGGCTGTCACCGAACGAAGTCCTTTGTCTTCACGAGTAAATCGAATAATGTTTCTCAGCATGACGTCTTACATCGAAGTTCGCTACTCGACCTGAAGGCTAAGATCGATGGATGTTATTCGGCCTGATGGCTGTCATTACAGGCCGTTTTTCGGCTTCACTTCTAACATAGATGTATGTTTTTTGCATGACGTTTAACATTGAAGGTCGCTGATAGTTAACATCGATGGCTAACATCGAAAACCGTCTCTCGGGCAGATGGTTATGTGGCTTTTACTATAGTTAACATCGGGCTAACATCGGGGTATGTGTCTCCGCCTTACTGCTGCCATTGAATGCCGTTTTTCGGCGTCACGTCTAACATCACGGAATGTTCCCTTACATGACATCAAACACCTTAGAACGCTTCTCGGCATGATGTCTAAAATAATAGGATGTACCTCGACCTGCTGTCTGTAATCGATTGCTGCTTATCTGAATCACGTCCTACATCGAAGTATGTTTCTCGACTTAAAGACTTCCATCGAAGATCGCTCCTCGGACAGATTGCTAACGCAGAAGGATTATCTCGGTCTGATTGCTGCCATAGAAGGCCATTGGTCGGCATCATAACTAACATCGAAGTATGATTCTAGGCAAATCGTCTAACATTGAAGGCCGCTTTTCGGCCAGAAAGCTAAATCAGATA